ATCCAGTTCTGCCAAACCATTGTATGCAAATATTTAGAATGGAAGATAAAAAGTCGCATCAATGGAACAAAGGTTTTGGAGACATTTTGGCGGCAGAAGTGTATACATTTTGAGTAGCTTTATTGACCGAGTTACATCACAGCTAGATATTCATTGGAATATCTTGTATCAATTAGTAAACCACACAATCCAGACTTTCAGTTATGTTGGTGGATTTAGGCAGCAAACTATTTGAAAACACTAACTCCAAACAATATTGAGTTTAGACGAGAGGTCAGTTTTCCCAATTAGTTCTATGAAGTGGTTTGGTATAATGCATAGGAGTGGAAAAGCTGGCAAGCAGAAACAAAAGGTGGTGTTTTAACACTGAATCCAACAAAATCTAAACACTTTAATGCAAATTAAAAATTGTACCATAACTTGTATGAGGGAATATGTGGCCCTATTTTTTTTTTTTTGATCACTGTGGAAGAACTCAAGCTGCTTGACCCTGGCACAAATGCTTCATTATCAAAGGAATAAAGAAAAACACTTACAGCATTTTGTGTACATTTCATGGCAAAATAAGCATAACACTTCCAGCTTGTTGAATCTTCTAAGGGCTCATCAACACTGGCACTTGAGATGTGGACTCCATTTAATCAGCATATAGCTTATATGAAGGTATGAGGGCTTACTGAGGTCAACACTAAGTGATCTCTATGGCGAACACAAGTTTTAAAAGCTATGCAAAGTGCTACTTCGATTATTCTAAAAATCTATAAAGGGAACCTAGGAAACTGAAAAAAAAGACAGTTGGCATTGCTAAATTAACTTTAAAATAGTTAAAGCATCCAGATCTTCAATCTTTTCTCATTATGTATGACCCACTGACTGAGCAAGTGTCCAGACTTCAGCGGCTGCATACTTGTTCATTAACAGTCAAGTATGCACCATTAAAAAATAAAGAAAGCAAAGTAACCCCTGTACGTGTTTCATTTAAAGTGAAAATTCCAGCCCAAGTTGTCAAAGATTGTTCTCCCTCCCAATTTTTAGATTTCCCAACTCATTCTTGCAACTCTGAGGCAAAAGTAAAACTTCCCCTCCGGTAGAGGTTCTGTCCCCTCCCCAGTTATTCAAAAACACTTGAATTGAGCTCCACTCTGAATGAGTACCAAACTCCTGGACTTCAAGTGACATTAAACCCTCAGATTTTTTAACATAAAATACTGTAATGTGTGCCTTACTGTAATTCATGGTTGTTTCCCTTCTCTTTGCTGCTCTAACTTTTAAATACTTCTCTTCTCATGCTGGGGAGAACTTCCCAAGCAGCGGACTGCCTTGTCTCAGGAATGTTACATGGTGTCTGTGTGCAGGTTCACAACCTGAGCCAGCACTACAGGAAGAGGCACTCAGCTGAAAAATGAAAGTTCTCCAAGCATGAGAAGAGAAGGATTTGCAAAGAGAAGGGAAACAACCATGGATTACAGTAAGGCACACATTACAGTATAGTTTTATGTTACAAAAATCGGAGGGTTTAATGTCACTTTAAGCTGGCCATACACTAACCATTTTCAAAGCGTTGATTTCCACCATCCATGTTACCCCACTTGCTAGGTTGTTGTATTCTGACAGCAGCGAGTGTGCCACTTTTAGAATACCCGAACAGCGACTGCAGCCACTGTTCAGCTGAGAATTTTCATATCAGCTCCCTTGACAAGTTGATTGAAATATCAACTAGTCAAATAGAGTGGTACCAATGGGGCTACAACTTCTAATGACCACTGTAGAAGCAGCAAGCCAACAGCCTGAGCAGCCAGGCACTTAGTGCCAGATCCTCACCTGGTCTAGGACTTCCCTTGAGGTAAACAGGCATTTCAATAATGCTGCCTGAATTGTTTTTGAATTCTAGGAATAGTACACTCAAGAAACTGCTGAATGGAGGCAGATTTAAAAGAGAACTGTGGGGTAAGTGTTTTCCCCCATAGTTCTCGTAAGGGTAACGGGAGGACATATACTAACCTCCTCCGACCCAAAGCTCAGTATATCGCAAGCTACAGCTCGCGATATACTGAGACCGCCGCAGCCGGGACAGATCCCGACAATGCTGTTGAGATCCACCCAGCTGCGTGGGTGACAGAGGGCTCTTCTCTGCAGGGAGATAATCAAGAAGTGAGTGATGGTATGTGTTCGCTCACTTTCCGATCGATTGAGCCGACGTGTCACACGCCGGTTCGAACTATGAGGATGAATGATTTTCACTCACCTTACAGATCTCCTTTAACTGATGCGAGTTTAAGCCTATATGTAGCCTCCTACAGTCCACTCATAAAATGTAGTCCACAACAGGCAGGTGTTATATATTTAGAGGAAAACTTCAATGAGCCTTAAAGGAGAAATCCCACATGTCATTGCCTAGTGTATAAAGCCCTTAGCAAAATACTGAGCAGTTTCATGTATTTACTTGGTTACAAAACAGGTTTCTATTCTTATCCGATCATCTTCAATACTCCTCTGGTTATTCAAAGTATCAGCTTGCTTCCATAGTGCTATTTTCTGTTGATTCAGTTTATGGATTTCAGGTTTATCTACAGAAAATCATTCTTTAAATATTGAGACAGTGAAGGTGACTCTAAATGGCAGCTTTAAGAGATCACTACTGCATGCTTTGACACAGAATACATCACAGCTAGAATATAAAATTCTTTAAGGTAAAATAATTGACACACAAAAAAAAGTAATTAAGAATATCCAATTGCAATACTATATACTATTCCTTTAAAAAAATGTGCTATATAGATTTTCAAAGCCAAAATTGGGGAAAGATGGGCACAAATATTGCAGCTTTAGTAATTACGTCTTAGAAGTTCCTGTAATGTGAACTTTGCAAACAGAATCTTAAAATTATCCTCCTTACTAATGAAAACGTTGGACAAAAAAAAAAGGTCCAACTAAGAACAAAGCATACAAACTTCTTGGCAAACACTAGGATAGAAGTAATGTACAGTACAAAAACATACTGCAATGTAGGACTATAAATCAAAACAATCTCTGGACTAACACACACATATTAATGACACTTAAAAAAAATAAAAAAAACTTTTATTACAAAAATAAGTTACACTCGCCTCCAGCTTACAGTATAAAACAATTTTATTTGCAGGAATGCAAAAATGATTGTTTGTCATGAGCATTTTTTTTTAACAGATGACAGATTTATTCTGCTTAAAATTTGCATTAACTGGGGAAAAAATAAGAGTATGAAACTACCCAGGGGTAACAGGATTGATCAACTATTATGGTGCCTAATGAATATGTAGTTGGGACTGCAGTGCCCCTTTAAGGTGAAGTGTTTTATACAGTGGAAAATATGTGCTCCATTACAGGACTTGCCACTATTTTACCACTGTATCAAGGTGCTTAAGAAAATGTTTAAAGAGAACCTAGATTTGTACTGCACTGTAACTTACATGGTCTGTTTTAGAAGCAAGGTGACCGACCCATAGAAGGCCAGCACGGTCGAAATAGGATGGACAGTTCATAAGCTACATAGTACGTTTTATGAACATTTTTTAAATACCATCCAAAAGATCATGCTTAAGTGTACAAGAAGCTTAAGCCTGACTAATCAAAAAAGGGACACTGCAGTACTTTGAGCAAGTTGCTGATGTACTTTTGGAACATTTGATGTCTTAGAAAAGTAACATCTCGCTAAACTATTATACATCCAAATAACTACAATATATCTGAAAGAGCAAAGGCTGCTTTTTCAGCCACAAAATACGACAAGAGCTAGGCTTGTTGCTGGACTCATCAGGAAGCCTCACAAGCCTCACTAAAGGCATCAGAAGAATGTTACATTTGGTACAGCTTAAGAGTTGCTTCCTCATGGCACACTAAACAAGTCTGGCTTTTATCAACAAAGATTTTCTATATACAGTACACACAGGGTATAGTTCAATCCTCTGCTACTGAGGTAGTTAACCAACCCTTTAAAAAAGGTTCTGAAAAGAACCACTATCTGGAATGCCTGACTAACTGGCTGATGATTACACCCGAAACTTCTGTATTTCACCACAATTCTTGTAAGAACACATTCATTGATAGCTTTTGGAGGGGAGAAAGAAATAAGGGTTCCAATGGTGATAAAAACACAATATTTGTTGTCCCACTGCTTTTTTATTTGCATATTAAGAGTGGGTCCTAACTCCGTTATACCACTAATCTCTATTCAACCCTCCCTCCCCTAAACTAATATATCTAAAACACTCATTTAATACTTGCTCTCCTGTCTGGTCCCAGAGTACTGACAGGCACAGGGCTGAATTGGGTGCAGAAATGCTACTTACTGGCTACCAATTTGTAGTACTAGTCTTTTTTTTAAAAAGGATATTGTGCAAAGGACACCTAGCTTATGCATGCTCCTGCTGGCTCCAAGACCGGCACTCGCAGCCGCTTCTCCCATGTTTCTTTGGTTGGGGGGACCACTGACATGGCTACCGCAAGCTTCATAGCTCAATAATATACACACCACCGATGGACCATCCACAAACCATAACAGAGAGAGGAGGCACGTGAGCATTGACTGCTGGAGGAGAAAAAGTCAAGTAAAAGTGCTTTACACAATCCCCTAGACAAAAATTAGTAGTTAACCCTCGTCATGTGGAGGTAGACTCACCGCAAGGTTGTTTTTAAGGTAAGGCTAGTTTAAAGGAAACATGACAAAACAAAAACCAGGTTGCCACTGCTGACCTTTCCTGAAAATGCTACCTCCCTGGCTGTCATGTTGACCCACTGACCTGAAACAATTGGAAAGATAATAAAGTCTGACTTTCCAGATCTGAATACTTGCTTTGTCAGTGCTACCAAGTTTCACAGCTAGTTGGTCACCATTACAGCCATTCAGCTAAGCATTCTCAAAGTAGGTCAGGAATGGCATGCTACGACAGAGAATGAAACAGGTTTGTGTTATAAACAGAGTTTAGGTCTGCTTTAAATAATTCCTCAGAATGTATCTCATCATCAAGCGAGACAAAACGTAATGTTACTATGCCATTTTCTAGGTTGCAGATTATCAGCTGCTTTAACCACTATAACGTCTGTAGCACAAGGTCTACACATTGTATCTGCCCCCAAATCAAAGGGCCCCATTTTTAGCATAAAATGTGTCCTACCACTAGGAGTCTTTCATATTACCAGGCAGGCTTAAAAAGGCAGGATTCCTGCAGGCCTATATAAGCAATCAAATGTTGATCAAAATGCTCAGGTTAAGGCGGTTAATGCAGCTCAATAATAAGCTTGCCAAAAGAGAAAACAAAATGGCAGAGTAAACACCATTGGAACCGCACATTAAGAAAAACCTACAGAAGGCAGATTTTTGTTGTTCATACAATAAAATTACCAAATATCATGCTATAAAGTTGTGAAGTACTTCTGTTGAAGATAGACTTAAAGTAACTTAAGTTTAATAACTTGCACTGCAAAAAAAAAAAAAAAAAAAAAAAAAAAGAAAAAAAAAAAGTTAAAGGAATCCTTGTCAAAGTCCACATATTAGTTCAAAAGTCCAATAGTAGAATCCATGATCTTTGCCTGAAGGTCTTCTGCGACAGAAATGCTCCTATACATTGAGATTTTATGGTTTCTTGATTTTCTTACCATTATTCCACTGCAAGCTTCCGGTGTAATCCCACATACCAAGTCAGTCTTCATTGTAACAGGTCAGGACCGGCCTCGACCCCTTTTCCCTGCTAGCCAGGTAACAAAAAGGCACCAATTAGACAAAGTTCATATTTGGAGAGAAAAAAAAAAAGGAAAGTAGGAAGAGAAAAATTTTCAATTTCAATATAAGGAATACTCATGCATGGAATAACATAACAGTAAAATAAAGCATGCAGTTAAGATATATGATTGCCACTAACTTGCTAATTTGGATTTGTGCGTTTTGGAAGGTTTTTTTTTTTTGTTTTTTTTTAACAAATTAAACTTGAGTTCACAAACTGATTTTATTTTTAAAGGTAGAAAAAGTAAAACTAAACTATAGCTAAACAAGGTTATAGATTGCTCAGAAAGTCAATACTTTGAAAATATAGGCCTTTTACGCTACAAGACAAAACATTTAAATGGAATGGTTATCTGAAAAACTGCTCGACAAACTATAAAAAGGCATTTGTAATAGCATGGCAAATGCATTTGTTCATGTATCTAGCCAATGTTCCAAACATTTAAACTAGTATCGTGTGGTAATATTTTTATTCATACTGGATTTCTGCTTTAGCTAAGCAATTAACCAAGCTTGGACAAATCTCAGGAGCCAGATGGCCATAAAAAAAACACAAAAAAACGTGTGCGTTAGAACGCTTGCTTATGCCAACGTGATTAAATGATAACCTGTCCCTTAAGATTTTGAAATGCAAGCAGACACCTTTTGAGAGCCTTAACAAACCCCAAGCATCACCCAAGTCAGCAAAGCTTATATAGTGCTCACTGAAATCTACAAGCTGAACACCAGCAACACAGAGGCACCAGCCATGGGCTAAACCAGAAAAATCATTTGATTCCCCTATTCATGTGAAACCATGTAAATAGAGTAAGACTATTTATTCCTCGGCAATATTTAAAGGGCCCATTCACAATATGCAGTGAAGAAACATTGTCCACAATGTGCTTTATTGTATGTTGAGGTACACCGAATTAGCGCAGCCCATTCATCTTGGTTCATTTGGATCCCAATGTAGCAAAATGTCCACTGCAGTATTTTCATCACAGCACACAGGTGCATTGGATAGGTGTATAGGGATGCCAAATGCACCTATACCTCCTGCTACAATGAGCTGCAGTAGTGCATGCGTTAACGCAGTGCACAAGACATGAACGGGCCTTAATAAGGGTGCAATTATACACAAATTTCCCTTTCTTCTGCTATTCACTCAGTATCTCAACTTCAGGCCCACAGATCCAAGCTATTGCACCTGTCCCAAAGATATGGCCAGGAAAATGGAGCAGACAACCAGTGGCCAGCAGGGCTCAAATGTATCCCACAACAAACGTCAGGAAATATTTTAGTGCTTGCAGCATGGGAATCTAAAAAAAAAAAATGACAGATCTGCTTTAAGTAATGGAATAGTTAAAGCCATTTTAGAGTTTTAATGTGAATCAAAAAGCAAGGACAAGAGTGAACTTGCAAATAGATCATCATGGCTGATAATCAGATGCAAGTACATTTGCAGGTAGCAGATCTTTGCAAGGCCAGCTATGCATTACACATTAAATTTTACAAATTTACCTAACTGCAGGATAGGAATAAAGCACTCAAGTTTTGCATGTGGCACATTGCCAAGCCCAAAAACTGCACCAAAGCAATATAGACAATTTTCAACCAAGACAAAAGCACAGGTCAGGATATGTGAAGCATACAGACCGATTTACTAAGCAATTTTCACACTAACTTGTTTTTACTTTTAAAAGGAAAAGTTTCATGTGATGTTCACATATATGCATTTTTGTCCTTCATTTTGCATTAGAGATTTACAAGTTGGCTACTAGAAGATCTGGACTACAAGAGTTTTAAGATTCAGCCAACTCAGACTTGGACTGTGAGGGGAAGCAAGTAAAACTATTGGGTAGCTCTACAAAGCTAAACAGGAACTAAAGTGCAAATATGGCTGCTCCTGCATACATAAAATTACACAAAGACAAGATTTCTAAAGCATTAATATGAATCAAAAGGATTCACTCTAGCTGACCACCATTCCAAAAAACCCTGTAGAGTTTCATTTAATACCCGTTCTTGATTAAATATTTGCAGTAGATAAAGGCTAGGGTGAAAATTGCTTTTCAAGCCTGCACTCTAGTAGAGAATGAAGTCCTTCAAAAATATAAAGAACCATAATACCTAGAGATCAATTTATAAATATAAACCTTCTCAGTCAGGATTCACTTACATACAATCATATTTATGATACTAGATTCAGTGTACACCACAAATAGCACTTCACTAGAGATGCACAGATATTGGTTTTCCGTTATTGTATGCCGATATTTATCTTTCGGTATCCGCCGATACCAGTACTTCCGCTAGCACAAGGCCAGCTTTCTGGCCAATAAGGGAGTTGGGCGGCGAGTCATTACCCACCACATGGCTTCCTGATTGGCTGGGAAGCCAGCTCCATGTTCCCTCGTGACACTCCGGTATCGAGGGTAAGTATCTGAGCATTTGGGCGAGTACAGTATCGGCACAGATAACGATACTAGTATCGGTGCACCCCTAACTTTTACCTAAAGAATGCACTGCACAATGGACTACCATCTACTGATACCTTTGTAGTACTACTTCGAATTCTTCATCTATATGAAGAGAATTGTTTTTTTTAAAAAGCAGAAATCCAGCAGTTCAAATAAAAAATATGAAAGGATAGAAGTAGAAAACTTCGTAAAACCCATAGCAGCTATTTAGCCAACTATTTTTCAATAATTAGGCAAGTATGTTCTCCAGATATGCCATACTATTTTAAAATGTCTTTGCAATATCTCAACAAGCACAATAAACAAAATGATTTTTGTTTTAATATACTTACCAACTTCTTTAATACATTCGTGATGTAGACTATGTTAACACAAAACTTGACATAAATACTTCAAGCATTTTGTATATTCACTACCTGATGTTCCTGCAATAATGAGCTTTAAGCTATTCTGCTAGCCCATCAGGCAGTGACATTTGTTAGGATATAAAACCAAGATTAAACAGTAATGTTGGCTCTGCGAGTTCCAAACAGCAGAACAGCAAAGACTCCAAAACCTTCATAGCTGGAGAGGTTGCTATTAGCATTTTTTTGGCCACAAAGACAAAGGATAAATGGCTTTACCGTGGTTT